GCCTAACCTTAACTTTGACGCCATCTTGATTTTACCTTGAAGCTACTCTTTAAAAGAAAAGCATTTAAACTATTTTTTGCAACAAAACCGCACCTGATCATTAACCTAAATACGCAGAGAAGAAAAGACGCTTTGATTAGTTAATTTTAATTGTTCATTATATGATTAATTGCAAATACAATTAAAACGTAAAATGATTTGAAATCCCACTAAGAGGGTAAAATAAACAATCAACTTGTAATGCGTGAGGTGATATGCACCGTGGGTTAGGTTTGGTTACGATATGGGGGATCGCAAGAACCTATCTTTTGATTGGCTTGTGTAAAATTCTATGCACCAGGGTTTAACTGGTATGCAATAGGTTGGTTTATGTGATCGAAATGCGTGAGGTGATATCCACTGTGGGTTTGGGTTAGGTTTGGTTACGATATGTAAATGCTATTCAGTATTTGAACAGACTTAACTAGTTTGGTACCTACATATACACCACTGCAATTGCAGCATTATTAACCGTGAATATTTTTGTTGTTAAAACCAGTTTCTTTTCAAATTTGCGCAAGTAGGTACCTATCTAACCTTAAAATATCTCTACCTTCACTTCTTTACACATGTATAGTATTACGTATTATGTATGTTTATGGATAGTTGTAGGTGTGTACGGCTCTAATAACGTAAGTACAGCTGCACGAAGATGCGAAATGCGCTGTTGACTATCTAGGTCATTGCTACTACACAATTGCCAGCTTAATGTTTATGGTTGACCCCAAACAATAACACATTTAGCTTCATTCGCATGACTTTCAATCTTTGGATCCAGTGTATAATTGCGAACAGATATATTTAACAACTGATATACCTACAAACGCTGGATAATTCTATGTAAAGCTACAATAAATGGCGAATATTCACTCAACTATATTCTACGCACTTTTAAGTGCTACAACTAACTGAAACTTCGTTTATATGTACAGGTAATTTAGAATGCCATGAGCCTTGACCTTAGGTTGTGCGGTGATAAAGCTCTGTCCGTCACTGATTTCCACCAATCTCTCCAACATAAATATATTTACCTAGTTGAACCTATTAGTAATGTAATTTTCCTCTAATGCTTGAAACTTGTGTGTTTTTGTTATATCCTTTTTAACAAATGAACGGCTAGACTGATGTTTTAACTGAAAAATTTTTCGTTTTGCTGTAAGTTGCGTTTTGTTATTCCATGTCAGTTGCGTTTTCTTATACCACGTTTTGTCACGTTTCACAGGAACAGGATAAAAAAAAGTATCCCATGTCCGTCTCCTGGTTGTAAGGTACTTCCGCATCAATTTTCAGCCAAATCGGTTCAGCCGTTCTTGAGTTATAAATAGTGTAACTAACACGACTTTCTTTTATATATATAGATAATAGATTATAACAAATAATGCAATTACTTTGCTATAGAAATCAATGGCTGGCTATCAAATGTAAAATGTTTAGTACATATATATATGTGATATGTATATACCGCCGAAACGAGTACACTAAAAATTAAATTTGTTGTCATATACTTCAATTGTTTATTATTTATCTATTAATGTGGATGACAAAACAAAAATTAAATGTGGTATTATCAGTTAATAACGTAAAAACCTAATTTGCCTTAATTTTGTTTGAGTTGAAGAGCAGATGAAAAACAGAAAACAACACATTATTTTTAAAACATCAAAAAATTGCCTGACATAATTGGATTGGCATGTTGACATGTGGGGGAAATTAATTAATTGATTTTAATGATTTATTGATAAAATTGCTAGGAAATGTAAAACATTTTTCATCAATTTTACTAAGACTAAGATGAAGAACACCGAGGGGGACGGAAGGTTCAAAAAGTAATAAATTTTGCGTTACGTAATTTTTGAACATTCCCTAATCAAAACATTTTTTTTTTAATTAATATATGTATTTTCATATTCTGTAAAGAGCATGTGTGCAATTTACTCATCATTAACTTTGGCGGCACTATCTTGAAAATGTATAGAGCGTATAATATCTACAAACATGTTATGATTTCCTGGCAACCATTAGGCACAACGTACACCAACATTTTTAAGCGTCAGTTGGCGACAAACAGACATGTAACGGTTATCAATTTGCTAAGGAAATTATATCGCAACATACACATATAAAGTCAAATGCAGGTTGTCTCGTGTTGCTAAGTCGAAGTTGTCGCCAGTCTTACAATTAGCTAATTATACTTCTAAGAGGAAATGTCTTCGAAAACATTTTTATAATATGTTATGATTTTTGCACAAAAGAGTATGATGCAACAGCTTTCAGTGTATATAGTAAAACTTTTGTCAAAACTCTGTAAACTTAAAACTTACTCAATTTAAAGAAAAAGGTACTGCTTCCTTATGATGTGAAATGCACTTCTGTAAGGGTATGTTGAAGAAGGATTCCCCGATTCGTTGGTATGATGTACCATAACCCATGAACGTATTTTTAGGTTAGGTTATGATGAGAAGAGATTCCCTGATTGCTTATGTGAAATGGTATGCTAAAGGTTTTCGTTAGGTTATGGTGGAAAAAGTTCCGATTAGCTTGTATAAAGCGCCATAACCCATGGATTTGTTTTTAGACTAGATTAGGGTGAGAGGGGATTCCCTGATTAACTAATGTGAATTGCTATGCATCAAAGATTTTCGTTAGGTTATAGTGAAAAGGGTTCCGATTAGCTTGTATGAAGCGTTACGACCCATGGACTTATTTTTAGACTAGATTAGGGTAAGGGGGGGATTCCCTGATTGGTTTATCTGAATTGCTATGCATCAAAGATTTTCGTTAGGTTATAGTGAAAAAGTTTTGCTGATTAACATGAACGAAATATATGTATCTATAGGACTACGGTAAATCAAAGCTGCGAACATTATCCGGTTCTAAAACCGCACTATAACGGAAACCTTCACCGCCTCACTCCCCCCACTCAATAAGACCGTAGACCGCCCCCTCCTCCTATTTGAGTTACATAACTTAAACCTAAGTTTCAACTTCAATAAGGACATCCATCTGAGGAACTTGGAAACCTAGTTTGCCTTACATCAAGGAATGTTTGTTTATATTTAACAAATAACATAATATTAATGTATATACCCTATGTCTATTGTATATACATGAGTATGTATGTCAGATCCGAAATCTCTCATCGTTTTAACATGCAAACGAAAGATTTAAAATTGCAAAAAAGAACTTCCGACTACAATACACCCATGTCATGCATACACATTTGCGTAGCAGGCAATTTTTATGGGTCACAAAATTAATGACACATGGGATGTTCAACCGAGATAATTTATTTAAATTGTCTCTATCGGACCGAAGCGCGAATATATGTACATATGTACATTCACATAATAGACCAAAATAAAACGTAAGTAAAGAATCATAATAAAATAGGCCAAAAAGCTAGCCATGTCAGTTCTTATCCTATGTGAGATTTTTGAAAACGGCTACAACGCGTTGTGCCACACAAGAAAAGCCGTAAGGAATTTTTTAATATAAAAATACGTAGTTACCTACATATTTTGAAATGTTTATTAACGTCAGATAAAAACTTTTACAAAATTTTTATCTCTTTTTTGATTTCTTAATTGCTGTTACGCAGAGTGTGATTTTGCACGTGAATGTATGAATGACACGTATGCCAGAAACTCTGGTAGAGTTAATATGAATTTTGTAAAATATAAAAGTTCTACTTCAAGACTGTAGTTTTTAATACGAAAATGAGTTTCGGTCGATTGTAACGAAACTTTAAGAAAATGTTCTTTGAATCATCCTTATCACAAGTCTCAATCGGTACATATTTTAAAACTCCTCAATTTTCGACTTAAAGCCGTTCAACCTCACCTCCAAAATTTTTTCAAATGTTAGGTATTCTAAATTTATGTACCAATTTTCAATATATTTTAGTACATCAGCATGGGCCATCGATCAAACCCATTTCGAACTTTACCCATTCACCCACAATTGCTTATGATGTCTTCCATTTGTACTAGGTTGTTCAAATGTCAAGTAGTAGACGGAAAAATCGTCGTCTAAATTAATGAAAATTTTTCTAAAGGTAATGGGTCACATCATGAAAGATGTTCAGTAGTTCAGCTCATTGCTATCTTTTTCGTTTAAAGCGGTGGTATATAAAAGAACCACAATCCCACAATTGTATATGTGTACCTAGAGACAAGTGCAAACCTGTTCGTGTGCCATTGTCATACCCATACCATATCTACCTGCACGACGTATGTACATCCCACAGAACAGGTAAAAGTGCCTACAAAATATTAATTATTCATTATTCCTATTCTTGTATAAAAAGAAAAGTTTTTTGTACCGACGACCCCCAACTAAAAACAACAAAAAATACATTTACATTGAAAGGACTAAAGAGGACCTGAGGTAGAGGGGTAGTCGGTAGATCCGAAGACTACTTCCTAAGGAATCCGAAACTACCCCCCAAAAAAAAAGGTAGCCACGACATTACCCTTTACGAAATGGTTTACTGGGGTACAATGGGGTAGTGTATGATGCTGAACACTTCAGATATGAAGTTATCGACATGCTTACCCAAAGAAAATGATGTAACTAGATACGTACTTGCAATTTCAAGATATCTAGTTATTTTTAAATGAATCAAATTAGTTCTAACATTAAGTACTAAGTACGTTCATTTACTGAATAGTCTGCCCTAGTAGCACATTTAAAAATAAGTTCAAATTTCGTTTAATAAATCAATAATAAGTTGAACTTTGTTTCGTTTTTATTTTTTTATAAATGACGTGTTGTACTGAGATAGAAAACCTCATATTTAAAATGGGTAATTGCTCATTTGATGTGCCATGGTTGCTCAAATCAATATTGAAGAACACGAACCACGAACAGCAAACGCGGAAACGAGTTCTTTGCAACAAAGAGCTGATTGTTACGCCTGCGTCGAACCAGCTGACAGAACAGCTGACGTCGTTCCCTCACCTCCCGCGAAAACAATCAGCTGGCGCGTTCGCCTGTATTCTGTATTCTCCTGTCAGTTGTGTTCTAAACGTGGTCGAGTGATTACAGTCGAAACAAAAACAACAAGGTTCGTGAGTAAACTATGTTGTAGGTGTTAACCTTTTAGAAGTGGCACGAAAATGTCACCGCTGACATTGTTGTTATTTTCAAGGGCATCAATGTCTATCTGATTCATTGTGCAGTTCGAAATGTTTGCGAATCGTACAAAACTAAATATAAGAAACGAAATTACGTTATGGCATTTAAAAATTATTTAATTAATATTAAAAAGGGTAACGGTTTTTATTAATTTCTCAATCTTCTTCACCAGAAACCCATTTAGTTTTAAGAAGGAACGACTAACTAAATCTTTCACTGCGATCGATGTTTTCATTGTAAGTGTAAGTTTCATCATCCTTGTTTCGTAACAAAGATGGAGTTCTCGTGTAGCGTTCTTTTCTTATTCGAAACGAATTAACAAATTAAACATTGAATTAATTACTAGGACCTAAAAATATTTCAAAAAAGGAAAGTAGGTACCTAGATATCTTTTAAAAACCGATCGTCAGGACGCGTTTGCGTGGTACAATTTTGATCTCTTGCTCGTCTGCGATTCTACAACATTTGAGTACCTAACTACCTATTCGCATTAAGTCACCACGAAAACAAACGTTGTTAGTATAATGAGCCATTGTTATTAACAATTAATGGCAGTCTGTTTTTAAAGTAAAACGAAGCTTGACGATAATTTGCCATGATTTGTTTAATAGCCTTTAAATTCTATCTTATCGTTTAGCAATAAATACTGAACGGTAGATGTTCTTAAGTCATTATTTGTTATGTTTTTATTAATTAATTAAAGAATGCGTCTAGTAGATACTGACTACTAAATTTGTGGCATAAGAAGTTATAAAATTCCGGGAATTTCAGTTGTACATCAAGCGTTAACGTGTTTATAATCGTATTAATTGTTTGCGCAATTTATTTGGGTACCTAATCAATGTATTTGTTTATTTGACTGATAAACGTTGAATATGCCGTGTATAGATAAAGTATGAAGTCAGACAGTACGACGCTTTTTTGAAAATGATTACGTACCTATTCTACTACCAAAAACAATGCTTGCAGTCATTAGTGAAGTTCGTTTTTTTAATGAGTGTCATGAATAATGCAGTTATCATACTCATTATAATAGAAGTAGCAGAATATGTTTTTATTAGTTGTTTTTTTTTTTAAAAATTGCGGAATTGAGTGCTTCGAGTGACTTATAAAGCGAACACGAAATGAATTCCACTTTTAGATTTTGACGTAGGTACCTATAGGTAATAAAAGTTTGGATGCGTACTCGTATGCGTATTACGTTTCCACTTAGATATATCACCCAAGAAAGCATTATTATTTATAATAAATAATAACGGATTTGTATGAATACGACAATGTTCTCTTATTTTTACATAAAGTATTTGATATTTTGATTATGGAACAATAACAAACATGGCACACACCAGATATTTAAAGTAAAATGCCTCACGTAAAATTAATTAACATAACGATTAATTATAAAAACACTGACAATATAAAATTCAACGAGTTTTCATTAAACGCAACTTAAGCGCTTTAATGTTTGCTTGCGTTACGATGACCTTCAACTAGAAGTTGTTTTTAATGCCTGGTTTGCTTGAAGAAATAGAAAACTACAACTTCCATGCAAATAAATAAGGAAATATGTGATACCAAAATTGCTAATTATTGTTGATAATCTGACATTCTTAGCTTTGGATATGTATGTGTCCTAATAATCGTCTATTTTAAAGGAATATGTTCGAAATGTTTACTGCAAAATCTATATATAACAATAAATTGAAAGCCCATTTCACTATCTAGTTTTAGTTTCGAATGAAGATCTAGTTTCTTGGTGGTTATGCATACATATACGACACATAGTTGTAATACCTCAGAGTTTGAATCAGTTTCATATTTGTAACTACTAAGCATAAAAACTGACAATTTTGGCGAATAGTTGCGAGGAAGGTTTATTTTTGAAAGTGAAGCAGTTGTATTTGTTTAAAGAAATAATGAAGCTATTTTGTTTCAGAAGATGTTCAATGCTTTGGCCAGTTACCTCCTAGGAGCACCAACCACGACCAACTCAACTGATGAGACGGAAGAGAACAACAATTTAAGACTGACTTCTGTAGTGTCTGACGATGATTGGGTAGTGGTCGATAGGGATGACGAAAGGGACAGTATAGGCAATTCCGAAGTGGAATCGGACTTATCAGAACCATCGGACGACTGTGATAACACTATCGATAACCATCACTATTTGCCTTGTCTCTTAACAAGAACTAGTTCCGTCTCATCGTTACCGTGCACCACAATCGACGAATCGTGGTACATTACTCCACCCCCTTGTTTCACATCCGCTGGTCCCATTGTAATGGAAACTTCGCCCCTAGAGAATCTTTTAATCGAACATCCTAGTATGAGCGTCTATCATCAACATTCCCAAAGAGGAAATCATTATGTTAGGCATAATTTGGAAACTGTACCTGTTTTTTCTGTAGAAAAGTTAGTCGAAGATGAAACATTAGAAACCAGAGAGGCACCTGTACAACAAGTACAAGACAGGCGTCCGAGAAATGACAGAACAAGTCTCGTGCCACATAGAAGTAGATTAGATATTATCAAACAAGAAGAGAAGCAAAGGCTCAAAACAAAACAAGCACAAAAGGTAATCTATTATTTCATAAAAAATTGTGATATTAACATGGGTCATTTGTTTCGCTCAAAGCAAATTGTTACTTAATTTTGTTTTCTAACTTTTTATCAGGTACAAATCCAGAAGGCATGTCAGTCGCTTAAACGTAGGTACCTGGAACGCAATAATAAGGCTCGTGAAGTAAACAATCGCAACAGACGACAGCGTCGTGGTGAGAAGTCACAAGGCGCAAATCGTTCTTATGCTAACAATAACAGAAAGTGCTGAGAGCACAAACCTGATCTCATCGTCAAAAACGCCAACCTAATACATGTGAGAGTAAGTTGTACAAAGTATGCTGATGTATATTTTTCAAGTCTTTTATCCCTTCCCATTTTCTTCTTCCTTACACGCATTACAATTTTATTTCACATTAAATTCAAAATTGACCTATGAACAAGTCTAAAAAGTGCAAGTTAAAAAATTATTAATATCTTAAAAGCGACTTCAGGAATGTAATTCAGTACCTCAAAAAAAAAAAAAAGATTGAAATGGTAATCAATTTTTGGTATTAATAAGTGTAATTGTAATTCTAGAGTAAGTGGTATAATCGTTTCAAATATAGGTACCTTATGTATATACATATTTAACTGCCATTCAGCTGTGGTGTATCAATATATTTTAAAAACAAAACCTATAGTTTGCTGCAATTCGTGGTAACCCATTTATAGAAAATCAAAGTAAATTGTGATTTTAGAATGTAACCAAAGCACCTAGTTGTGTTCAGATATATGTATAATAGGCATACTTGAAGCAACTTACTTTTTCGGAATTGGGTTAAAGAAGTATTTTTAATTTGTAGACCTTTCATTAATTTCATTTCATGTTTGTTGTAGTAGTAATGTAAGATTTAGAATGCTTCCAACTTGTTTATTTTCACATTTAATATATGTTGGCCAGGTAATATAATTGATTAACCAGTTGATAATAGCGCAACAAAAAGTAGGTACAAAAAAATAAGAAAATGTTTAAAAAACGCTAGACTAATTTAAACTAATATTCATTTTTTCTTATAATTTCACTGAAGTACTATTGTCAATTATTGTTGCGCTATTTTTATATTTCAGCAAAAGAGAAAAAATCCGACTTCTCTGAATCAGAGTTTTGTCAGAGATTTATATCTTTCTTTAAGCGATTCTATAAGTCCAAGCAAATTGTATAGTTATAAATTTTAAATCTAGCCATGCTTGCTTAAATTGCTTACTTAAATATGAACACGGAGTATTTAATAATTTTATACAGCATGGGAAAACTCACATACTTATAATATGATAAGTACGATATATATCAATAACTTTTCAAAAAAATATCAATGAAATTAAATAAGAAGTCGTAGCGTGCAATTCAAAGATCAATAACTACTAAATTACTAAATTTAGTTAAAAAAAAAATAAACAAGCAATAAGGCCAGCACAAAAAATTATGTTTTTAACGTATAATTTGCATAGCTTTTGAAACTGTTATTTACTACAGATAACTTTATCACTCACAAGTATTCTATATAAATACGTCTTGTACATATATTGTATTAATTTTATTTAATCTGACTAACTTAACTGTTGTTATTTCTTTAAGTTACTAGTTGTGTTAGAAATAATTGTATGAATGTAACGAATATTGTGTAAAAATAGTATCTACTAGCAGGCTAGTTATAGGATGTAAATATTATGGAGAGCTTCTGGTTGAATGTTTTACAGGTGCACTTTCATGTTGTATGTGAAATTCGAATTTAAAAAATCGATTAAAAAAATAACTAAACGAAAAATTCTAAAAATAAAAGTAAAATAATGTACCTACAACAGCAACAGTTGTTTTCTTTCTATTCCTCATAATAACTACTTAGTGCACAATAAAAGGACAATTTTAAAAAGAAGTAGATAAATACATATATAATTGGTATTGATGACGTGTTTAGGGTATTTTGAAACATTACAATAATTAAATATAAAAATAATGTACTTTTTTTATTAAATTTTCTGAACATTTAAAACTTTCATTTTACTTTTAATAGTTAGTTACCTATGTTACGGTAAACGTTTAAACACATTAATTTAATTTAATAAATGAGGGATCTGAGAGAACCATAAAAACTTTAACTAAGATGTATTTTAATTAGTTTCTCCCGTTATCATAAAGGAAACTTTCTGTTCAAAGTAATTCAAAATTGTAGATACAAAGTACCTATTGAGAGCATGTAACAAGTTAGTTTCTTTCATAATGCCATAACCGATTTTGCATCGTTGAAATTAAACAATTTAAAACATTTAATATGCAGTTCGAATGTACCAAGGAAAAAATAAAATTGTGTTTCCCCTTTATCTAAATAAGAAAAAATGGGCAATTCTCGATCAAGTGCAGCTGTTTTTAAAAAAGCTGTGTACTTTAAAATGTTAAACAAATATGTAGCAAAGGAAATATTTTACAGAAACTGCAGTTATAAAACTCGAAAGAACCCATTACGCACAAGCAGACAAAAATCTTGTAATATTTAATTTATTATTCATATGCGTGTAATTTTGATTCGTGTTAGTTGTATATGTGAATTTTTTACAATGTTTGTAAACAATATGAGTATTATCATGTATTATTTTATCAGTTTTGTGTTTAGTCAGTATATTAGGTGTAACCCGCATAACCACAGAATTACCACGTGAAATTTATACCTTACCATGTTGAAATTTAAACAGCTTTTTCCCAAAAAATGTTCAGTTATTGGTATGATCCATGTCAAAGCACTTCCAGGTAACAAACTAATTGATTAAAAGTAACATAATTGAACTTTATTATTTGCACTATCACTACTCACATCATGCAAAACACGCGGGACAACAGCGAGGACTAACCTAAAAAATCATAGATTACTGATAGATTACTAAAAACATAGACTTAAAAAATATAAATCATAGATAAGAACTAAGTAACAGAGTTTGATAAAAGGAAAAGTATGAAATAATTTTTATTGCCGCTAGAGGCGTCACCACACAGACATTTTATTCTAATAAGTAATTAAGTAAAATAACAGAACCGTAATAAAGTATTTTTGCATTATATATTTTATATTTTTTCTTAATGCTTTAAAAGGTGTTGACAAATTTAAGATCTTTTAGGCACTTCAGGTTTTGAAGGTTCAATTAAAACGATAATCGAAAGCGCATTACAAGACGCTCAGATATATGTTGAAAATAAAGTAGTAAGTAATGATAATAAAACTAATTTGCTCTAAGAATGAGAAATAAAAATGACTTTTTAAGGACGGATTGTTAATTGAGAATATGCATGATTTGCCGTACGTCAAAGGAACTAATTTAGGACCGGAAATAACTGCCATGATGACTAAAGTGTGTTCAGAAACAAAAAGACTGGCAAAGAACGTTCCATGTGGTGTGCAAGTAAAAATTGATTATTTATTATTACAAATATCACTAACTGTCGTACGTTTGTAAGGTTTTAGCAACTGGAAACAAGCATGCGTTAGCAATAGCTCAAGCGTGTTCGCTCGATTTTATTCGCGCAGAAGGTTTTGTTTTCGGCCATGTTGCCGATGAAGGGTACATTGACGCATGCGCAGGAGAAATTTTACGATATCGTAGAAACACCGGGGCTACTAATGTGTTAATTTTTACAGACATAAAAAAGAAACACAGGCATGTTTGATTAATGAAAATGAACCCTAACTAAAAATAAAATGTTTTTTTTTTTATAGTTCTCACGCAATTACCGACGACTTAACAATAATAGAGACTGCAAAGGCAGCTGAATTCTTCAAAAGCGATGGTCTTATAATCACAGGAAAGGAAACTGGTGATCTCGTGAATATTAATGATCTAAACGCATTGAAAGCATCGACGTCACTACCAATAATTATGGGATCTGGAATAACAAAAGACAATTTTGGCGATTATTTAGATGCAGATGCATTTATTGTAGGTTCCCATTTTAAGCAAGGCGGAATATGGAATACAGATGTTTGCGAAAAACGGGTCAAACAGTTCATGAGTATAATTAAAAGACTAAAATTATAAAATGTTNTGGATTTGTTTTTAGACTAGATTAGGGTGAGAGGGGATTCCCTGATTAACTAATGTGAATTGCTATGCATCAAAGATTTTCGTTAGGTTATAGTGAAAAGGGTTCCGATTAGCTTGTATGAAGCGTTACGACCCATGGACTTATTTTTAGACTAGATTAGGGTAAGGGGGGGATTCCCTGATTGGTTTATCTGAATTGCTATGCATCAAAGATTTTCGTTAGGTTATAGTGAAAAAGTTTTGCTGATTAACATGAACGAAATATATGTATCTATAGGACTACGGTAAATCAAAGCTGCGAACATTATCCGGTTCTAAAACCGCACTATAACGGAAACCTTCACCGCCTCACTCCCCCCACTCAATAAGACCGTAGACCGCCCCCTCCTCCTATTTGAGTTACATAACTTAAACCTAAGTTTCAACTTCAATAAGGACATCCATCTGAGGAACTTGGAAACCTAGTTTGCCTTACATCAAGGAATGTTTGTTTATATTTAACAAATAACATAATATTAATGTATATACCCTATGTCTATTGTATATACATGAGTATGTATGTCAGATCCGAAATCTCTCATCGTTTTAACATGCAAACGAAAGATTTAAAATTGCAAAAAAGAACTTCCGACTACAATACACCCATGTCATGCATACACATTTGCGTAGCAGGCAATTTTTATGGGTCACAAAATTAATGACACATGGGATGTTCAACCGAGATAATTTATTTAAATTGTCTCTATCGGACCGAAGCGCGAATATATGTACATATGTACATTCACATAATAGACCAAAATAAAACGTAAGTAAAGAATCATAATAAAATAGGCCAAAAAGCTAGCCATGTCAGTTCTTATCCTATGTGAGATTTTTGAAAACGGCTACAACGCGTTGTGCCACACAAGAAAAGCCGTAAGGAATTTTTTAATATAAAAATACGTAGTTACCTACATATTTTGAAATGTTTATTAACGTCAGATAAAAACTTTTACAAAATTTTTATCTCTTTTTTGATTTCTTAATTGCTGTTACGCAGAGTGTGATTTTGCACGTGAATGTATGAATGACACGTATGCCAGAAACTCTGGTAGAGTTAATATGAATTTTGTAAAATATAAAAGTTCTACTTCAAGACTGTAGTTTTTAATACGAAAATGAGTTTCGGTCGATTGTAACGAAACTTTAAGAAAATGTTCTTTGAATCATCCTTATCACAAGTCTCAATCGGTACATATTTTAAAACTCCTCAATTTTCGACTTAAAGCCGTTCAACCTCACCTCCAAAATTTTTTCAAATGTTAGGTATTCTAAATTTATGTACCAATTTTCAATATATTTTAGTACATCAGCATGGGCCATCGATCAAACCCATTTCGAACTTTACCCATTCACCCACAATTGCTTATGATGTCTTCCATTTGTACTAGGTTGTTCAAATGTCAAGTAGTAGACGGAAAAATCGTCGTCTAAATTAATGAAAATTTTTCTAAAGGTAATGGGTCACATCATGAAAGATGTTCAGTAGTTCAGCTCATTGCTATCTTTTTCGTTTAAAGCGGTGGTATATAAAAGAACCACAATCCCACAATTGTATATGTGTACCTAGAGACAAGTGCAAACCTGTTCGTGTGCCATTGTCATACCCATACCATATCTACCTGCACGACGTATGTACATCCCACAGAACAGGTAAAAGTGCCTACAAAATATTAATTATTCATTATTCCTATTCTTGTATAAAAAGAAAAGTTTTTTGTACCGACGACCCCCAACTAAAAACAACAAAAAATACATTTACATTGAAAGGACTAAAGAGGACCTGAGGTAGAGGGGTAGTCGGTAGATCCGAAGACTACTTCCTAAGGAATCCGAAACTACCCCCCAAAAAAAAAGGTAGCCACGACATTACCCTTTACGAAATGGTTTACTGGGGTACAATGGGGTAGTGTATGATGCTGAACACTTCAGATATGAAGTTATCGACATGCTTACCCAAAGAAAATGATGTAACTAGATACGTACTTGCAATTTCAAGATATCTAGTTATTTTTAAATGAATCAAATTAGTTCTAACATTAAGTACTAAGTACGTTCATTTACTGAATAGTCTGCCCTAGTAGCACATTTAAAAATAAGTTCAAATTTCGTTTAATAAATCAATAATAAGTTGAACTTTGTTTCGTTTTTATTTTTTTATAAATGACGTGTTGTACTGAGATAGAAAACCTCATATTTAAAATGGGTAATTGCTCATTTGATGTGCCATGGTTGCTCAAATCAATATTGAAGAACACGAACCACGAACAGCAAACGCGGAAACGAGTTCTTTGCAACAAAGAGCTGATTGTTACGCCTGCGTCGAACCAGCTGACAGAACAGCTGACGTCGTTCCCTCACCTCCCGCGAAAACAATCAGCTGGCGCGTTCGCCTGTATTCTGTATTCTCCTGTCAGTTGTGTTCTAAACGTGGTCGAGTGATTACAGTCGAAACAAAAACAACAAGGTTCGTGAGTAAACTATGTTGTAGGTGTTAACCTTTTAGAAGTGGCACGAAAATGTCACCGCTGACATTGTTGTTATTTTCAAGGGCATCAATGTCTATCTGATTCATTGTGCAGTTCGAAATGTTTGCGAATCGTACAAAACTAAATATAAGAAACGAAATTACGTTATGGCATTTAAAAATTATTTAATTAATATTAAAAAGGGTAACGGTTTTTATTAATTTCTCAATCTTCTTCACCAGAAACCCATTTAGTTTTAAGAAGGAACGACTAACTAAATCTTTCACTGCGATCGATGTTTTCATTGTAAGTGTAAGTTTCATCATCCTTGTTTCGTAACAAAGATGGAGTTCTCGTGTAGCGTTCTTTTCTTATTCGAAACGAATTAACAAATTAAACATTGAATTAATT